GTTTTCATTCAAACTTGGTACATAGATTATACATGTTAGGGTACATGTCCATGACGATTTATTTCACAATTGGATCAAAGATGGCCGACTGGCAGTCATCTTGTTTTTTGAAAATGTTTTATTTTGCACATGCTTTGTCAGTTTGCATTCAAATTTAGTACATAGATCATACATGTTAGGATACATGTCCCGACCATCCGTGAGTTCCTGAGTCTGTCCGTCTGTGCGTCCATCCGACCATCTGTCCGTGCGTGCGTCAGTCTGTCCAGAGTTATATTTCAGAATCCTGTGGACCGATTCTGTTCATTCTTTGCATGTGCCTAGTACCTTATGTGAGACATATGCACATGCAGTGGTTTAGCAATTCGATTCAAAATGGCCGACTGGCAGCCATCTTGTTTTTTGAAAATGTTGTATTTTGGAAATGCTTTGTCAGTTTTCATTCAAACTTGGTACATAGATTATACATGTTAGGATACATGTCCATGATGATTTATTTCACAATTGGATCAAAGATGGCCGACTGGCAGCCATCTTGTTTTTTGAAAATGTCGTATTTTGAACATGCTTTGTCAGTTTTAATTCAAATTTAGTACATAGATCATACATGTTAGGATACATGTCCCCGACCATCTGTGAGTTCCTGAGTCTGTTCGTCCATCTGTCTGTCCGTCTGTCCGTGTGTGCGCCAGTCTGTCCAGAGTTCAGAATCCTGTGGACCGATTCCGTTGTCCATACGATTTATTTCGCGATTGGATCAAAGATGGTTGACCGGCAGGCATCTTGTTATTTTTTTTATGCTGTATCTTGGACGTGCTTTGTCAGTTTTCATTCAAATTTAGTACATAGATCATACATGTTAGGATACATGTCCCCGACCATCTGTGAGTTCCTGAGTCTGTTCGTCCATCTGTCTGTCCATCCGTCCGTGTGTGCGCCAGTCTGTCCAGAGTTCAGAATCCTGTGGACCGATTCCGTTGTCCATACGATTTATTTCGCGATTGGATCAAAGATGGTTGACCGGCAGGCATCTTGTTATTTTTTTTATGCTGTATCTTGGACGTGCTCTGTCAGTTTTCATTCAAATTTGGCACATACATGTACTTTATACACATTAGGATGCATGTCCATGAAAATTTGTTTCAAAATCTGGTCAAGGATGGCTGATTGACAGCCATCTGACTTTTTGGCCTTACTACTATATTTCCACAATTTATGTACCATTTTCATTCATATTTAGCACATACATCATACATATCAGTGTGTTTCATAATCAGATCAAAGATGGCCGAATAACGGCTGTTTTTATTTTTGGCCATATTACTACTACACGGAACACATGTTTTGATGTAAATAAACAATCTGTTGTATACGCCACTTGGAACTCAAGTTTCAAGGACATGCTCGGGACAACCCCTTCGCTTTAATATGACGAGCACAAAGAGAACTTAATTTAACGGGGACTGTGTCATTTTCAATGACTTGTTTCATTTATTAATAAAATCAACATTAAGCCATAAAAAGTTATCACTTGAATAATTTCACTTGTTCATTTAAAAATAAGCATAATTAAAATTCATTTGTTATTGAAATTATTTGAAACCAAATCTATAGAATCTAGATTTGAATTAGAAACCATGTTTTATTCTCATAATAATAATAATGCCTATACTAGCATCTCACTCAACCCCTCATCATATGTGCCATGCGTTTTTTCACCTTGTTGAAATAAAAAAGTTGGATCAAAAAGAAAATGAAATTTAAACACTCATTTGTGCAGGAGTTCTTCAAAGACTTGTTATATAATAACCTGCAATAAAAATTATATATATATAAAAAAAAAAACTTGAATGAATAGAAATTTATTTTAATTATTACCTTGCACCATGTCAATGCAACTTTTAAAACTGTTATGTACTTGTGTTATATTTGTGTAATTGTAATTTCTGTCTGAACCCTTATAATGTAGAACCAGAAATGTACCACAGTATTTTCTTTCTGCATTGCCTTGAAATATTTTATTTGCATCATTTGATGGCATTTTATTAATGTGTTTATATCAAGATTTGATCGGGATATTTTCCTAATCAGGCCTTTTTTAGCAGCCCTTCCTTTTACTGGTGTTACCAATATTGACAAAAATGAAATATTTTCACTGCATTACCCAGAAAGCTTATTCCAAATTTATTTATTTACATGTATTACCGGTAGTATGATTCATTTGTTATTTGGGCATACTGGTTGCTATGCCACTCAGCACAGTGCTGCTATATAGATAGTACTTGGTATACTTTCTCATTTTAGACTTGCCATTTTGAGCGAAGGTTAGTATGAGCTGACAGAGGTCAGTATGAGCTGACAGGTCAGAATGAGCTGACGGAGGTTGGTATGGAGTGACAGAGGTCAATGAGAATTCACATAGGTCAGTATGAACCAACAGTGAAAACTGACTGGTTAATGTCCCACATGATTTTTAAAAAAGGAACAACAGTAGAATGCACACACAGTTGTTTCAATTGAACTATCTAGAATTACGCAATGTAAGTGACAAAAGTCTTCTTTTTTTTCATTTTTTGAGATCAGATTACCCTTACTACGCATAAAAATATTATCATTAATCTAGTTTAATGATATGCAGATATGTTTATTAATATTTTTTATAGATGCTGATAATATTTGACCATAGAATTGTCTATACTGGGTGTTCCCTACTTTTTCATTACTACTGTCCTGTATATGTTTGCTTCGCATGACTCTATTCTAACTGTCAACTTGATATGATTATGTTTTGTCACATGGTCCATCACATGTAACTTTGTTAACCTGATATCTGTCAATATTTACACATTTATGGTTTTTCAATTTACAGATTTTTTAATTTAAAGGGCAGTGGTCGTTGCACTGTGCATGTGCGACAATTGAGTTGATAAACATTGATTTTCCCACAATTCAATGCACTTTTCTAATGAAATCACAAGTGCGTGTTTTGCCCTGTGTGCCACATGCACTAATTACCGCTGGCGATTTTTTCTATGCCTTCCAATCAGTTTGTACTCGTGTGGGCAACAGTAAAAATTGTCATTTTTGTGTATGAGACCCATATCACGCATGCGTGGCACAACAACCACTGCTCTTTAAGCATTTGAGTGTAAATACATGTACTGCTGAGCTGTTTTCGCTTGCTTTTATATGATAGTAATAATTTTCTGTCTGTGGAATTATCATTTCTTTTAATTAATTTTTTTTATCAAATTAAAGTTATTTTGGTATTTTAAATGGTTTAATGTAAGCACAATGGAAACATAACCATTGGAGTGCGCTTGCAACTTAGAGGGCGCTGTGCTGCTCTGGACTATGAGTTGTTCTGGGCACGGTTACTAACAGTGTTCTGGGCAACAAAAAACCTTTTCTGAAACTAAAAGTATGCTGGCATACTGTGTATCTGTCTTCTTCGTCCAGGCTAAATTCTATAATGTCTTTTAAAAAAGTAATTCTTCCATTTGGTTACTTTGAGTATGTTATTCTGTGAGTTATCTACTAAGTGGCAATCAAATACTTTCCATGGGAGTGTGTGAATCTTTTAGAACAGCTTTGGTAGCCGCTGTTTTATTTAGTGGAAGCACTGTTATGTTGTGATGAAGTATCATTGTTTCTCGGTTTGATTGCAAATCTAGCAAAATGTTATTTAAATATGCTCCCAAAACACT